TAGCATATATCCATCTATATCCAATCAAAATACTCATTCAGTGTACATATATATGAACTAGATTGGGTAGTTATAAACAGAAACTTCCTTGTATGGGTAAAATAGGCCTTCTGAAGTTACCTTCATTCATGTGTTCTCATAACCTTAATAATAGAAACGTCGGTAAAGCATCATACCAATGGGGTATGATGCTTTAGCCGCCCATAACGTCATAAAGCTGTTCCAAGGAGGGTTCCATCCTCTCATTAACACATTGAGTAAAATCTCTTAACAGCTCAACTTTTCTCAGTAAGTTTCATCACAGGCTATGCCATGATGCCTTGTATCCACTCGTGTTTTCACTCATTGTATCATTTCTCATATTTTTTGTTATTCAATTCATCGAACCAACCTAACCTAACCTATAATATACAAACAAAGCAATTATTTCTATAGTAATAAGACCTATTGTTTTAGTGGTCATGACATCACAAAACAGTTCTAGTGAAGGATTAATTTTGACTCTTAATACCACAGATGTGTGACAGGCTCACGGCGGCCTAACTTTTCAACACTTGGTGACGTCACAAGCTGTGCAATGAGACCCTAGAATCCTTCTTTTTTTAGTAGTATATTTAATGTTATTATTAAAAAATGGCTAAACTATCCATCCCCAAACCTAACTTAACCAGGGGGTTTAAGAATATAGATTTTATACATTATATTCTTTTATTAGAAATAAGAACATGAGAATGAAGGTAACTGCAGAAGGCCTATTAGCCCTTATGAGGCAGCTCCTACCCAATCTCGTTTATATATATATGTGTCCAACTTATGCTTGAAACAATCAAGGGACCCCACTTCCAATATTAGTTTACAATAAACAGTTTTCCTTCTAAATTTATAACAAGATCCATTAGGGAAGCTCAGTAATTCAGATGACAATCTCAGTAATCCCAGTACTGGTTCATTGAAAAGAGATATATACAGCAATTTCTCATTATTATAAGTATAGTTAATTTCCTATACAACAACAGCATTAGCAATTATGAAATGCTATAGCTTGATATCGTACTATACTCCACAAGTAGTTACCGTACATCTGGCAGCTTAGCGGATTAGTACCTGTGTTCATAAGATAATAAACTGTCCTCACATCCGTCAAATAGCTGCCCAAATGTCGCACCGCAATACATTCATCTTGCAACTCAGCTGGATGCTGGCCACTATATTCATAGCTTAATCATTTCTAGACCTCGAAAATCCCATTCTTGCTACACAGATCAGCTAACTTGTTTCTAAACCAACAGTCACAATTACAAACATACATACATACATACATACATACATACATACATACATACATACATACATGCATGCACACATACATGCATACATGCATACATGTATACATACATCCACCAAAGGGCCGAAAGGGCAAAGCTCAACCCCCACAAAAACACAACTAGTAAACACATACATACTGTGACGGTAACGCGTTGGTGTTCGGCTGTTTCAAAAGCTAGGGGTATGGCCTCGTCACATATAGAAACAAAAAAGAGAAAATCTGGAACTTCGTCTGTGGTAAGGTAATGGGAAGACACACAAAACACAAGTAAATTTAACAATGAGATTTTAATTACGTTAGAAAAGCAAAACATGAATAAATTGGACATACAAATTGGAACATAAAATCAATCAATCAAAATAATAAGAATAATCAAATGGCAAAATGAAAAGTTACGTTAAGACAAGTGAGTAATAACAAGTGAACAATATACAATGGGTGCAGGAATAATGGCTTTAAGCTGCCACCTCTCTTAGTACACGTAAGCCAGAGCTTAGTCTACCAACGAGACGTGTTAACTTGTTGAAAGCACTGGATATTCTGAGGTCTGTAGGTCGTGTGGCCCCAGACATCAGGTAGTGTGGCGGGTGGAGGGCAGGTGCAACTGGACACGCAGCCAATCAGCGATGAGCAGGCGACGGACAGGTAGTTTGGTGATTCGAGTGGCGGGGGGAGCAGGTGTTCCTGGTGCTGCATACGTTTGCTCTCTGGCAAACCTTGGTGTTGTATTTGTTGTATATAGCGACGAACTTAGGAGGGAAGAGCAGGCTCAATCTCTTGAAGGAGATTATCGTCACAATACATACATACATACATACATACATACATACATACATACATACATACATACATGCATACATACATACATACATACATACATACATACATACATACATACATACATACATAGGGGCCTCGTAGCCTGGTGGATAGCGCGCAGGGCTCGTAATTCTGTGGCGCGGGTTCGATTCCCGCACGAGGCAGAAACAAATGTGCAAAGTTTCTTTCACCCTGAATGCCCCTGTTACCTAGCAGTAAATAGGTACCTGGGAGTTAGTCAGCTGTCACGGGCTGCTTCCTGGGGAGGGGGGGGTGTGAAAAAAAAAGTAGTTAGTAAACAGTTGATTGACAGTTGAGAGGCGGGCCGAAAGAGCAAAGCTCAACCCCCGCAAACACAACTAGGTGAATACATGCATACATACATATTCCACAACCCATACATGCATAGAGAACAGCCTGTTTAGGCCACTATCGCTCCATTTAATCAGATGTAATTTATACCATATTAATCCCTAAAATCTATTAAGAATAAGATTTCAGTAATCCCACAGCTCATTCACCCAAAATGTTTTTTTAATTTTTGTACTGTTAATTCATATCAATGCATACCAATCAGCAAGGTGACCATATTATACAAGCAACTCCAAAATGTTTTTAAAATACTTTATTCAAACACACCAAGTAATATAATTACATGAATAAATACCCACCTACATACTTTTCATATGAATAAATCAGTTTGTTACATTGCAATAAATTACACAGAAATCATACTAACGTGATGCATCAAATGAACAAATCCACAATGGCCGTGACGAGGATTCGAACCTGCGTCCGGGAGCATCCCAGTGATTTCTGTGTGTAATGATGTAAAGATGAAGAGGGAGAACGGCCTATTGACATAGCTCGAGTGCAACGGGGAAGTTGTGTAAAACCCTGGCTTGAGCCTCGGAGAGGCTACGGGATCCAGTAAGTTCAGTCACACTTCGGTTTCAACTCTTTTGCCCTGTCGTAGCTCAGTCGATTAAGGCAGTGTCTGGGAAGCTCCCGGACGCAGGTTCGAATCCTCGTCACGGCCCTTGTGGATTTGTTCACTTGCAATAAATAGTTTATTGCAATTAAATTAGTGATTAATAATAAAAGCTGAGTTTGTGATAAGGCATGCTAAAATATAATAATTCAACACTGCTCACTCAAAATGCTATGCTTGTACATACATACACTAAAAATACACAAAATTAAATAATGCATCATAAAACTCATAAACCCATTTACACTCAACAGGGCATTTATTCACAAAGTATGACATTTCTACATAAATATGACATACACAGAATATATTATTTACACACAAAAATGCCACTTATTGACAAAATATGTCATTCTACATACCTAATATGTCAGCTGCACACAAAAATATACCATTTATGCAATATTGCATGTTCACTCAAAGTATGACATTTACACAAAGTATGGTATTTGCACAAATATAACAAATTGTATATATGCTCGTACAATCAAAATGCACTTTCATTAAAATTACACAATTTCATAAACATAATTTTAAAAAAATACCCGACACATTGTCACATAAACCAAATACACTTTCACACATGCTTATTAAGATTTATTTTTTCAGATAACATATGCAGAGCTTACACAAAAACACAATTTGCATAGATATTCTATTCGCACAAAACGATATAAAACATAGACAATTATTGCAAAAATTGTGCAATTAATACACATCTCTGTACAATTAATACAAGTTCATGCCCGAAACGCTTTGCGTAATAGTGGCTTTAGGCATTGCATGTACTAGCCCTATCTATAAATCCATCACTCTTTGTTAAATCTCTTGTATGTATGTACCTTACCTAAATAAACATTTAGGTAAATAAACAAACATAAATAAACTAACCTCCATTACCTGGGGGGGGGGGTTTAATGGAAAATGTGTTAATAATGAGAATTTTCACTATATCAATTCAACTTACCCATCCTTAACCTATCCTTATTTATACCTGGATCTGAACTCCATTTTACAACATATTTTTCAGAAAGGGATATGACTCAATATAACTATACAATTATAATAACCCTATAACTATATAAATTACCGTAAGAATTGTGAATTTACACCGGTTGTGTATTGATTGTCATTGTGCAAGTTCTGTAATTATATTGCATGTTTGGTCGGGATATGATAGGATAGGGTAGGATTAGTTTTAGACTAGGACAGGTTAGGATCGGCTGGAATAGGACAGGATAAGATAGGGTAGTATATGGTAAGGATAGTTGGGGTTGGGATAGGTTGGGATGGGATAGAGTAGGGATGGGATAGGGTAGGGTTAGTTTTAGACCAGGATAGGTTAGTATAGGTTAGACTAGGATAGGACACGATAGGGTAGAATTGGGTAGGGATAGTATGGGCTAAGATAAGTTGGGATGGGATGGGATAGGGTTAGTTTTAGACTAGGATAGGTTAGGATAGAATAGGACAGGATAGGTTAGTATGTGACTAGATAGTACAGGATAGGATAGAGAGGGATAGGGAAGGGCTAGGATAGGATAGGCTGACATATTTTGTGTGTAAAGGTCATATTTTGTCTATAAATGGCATATTTTGTGTAAATGATTTATTCTGTAGATAAATGGCATATATGGCGTGTAAATGTTGTATTTTCTGTGTAAATGTTGTATTTTCTGTGCAAATGGAATATTTGTGTGGAAATGCTTTGTACATAAATGCTATATTGAGTGTAAATGTGTATGTGTTTTAAACTGTGTGTTTTTTATTTTGTGTACTTTTTGTGTAAGTAAAAGTGTTGCAATTTGTATGAATGATGTTAAATTAATATATTTTAGAGCACCTTATCACAACCTTAGATTTTTAGTAATAATTAGTCTGAGGGTCTGCGTCTGAGGGTCTGCGTCTGAGGGGCTGCGTCTGAGGGTCTGCGTCTGAGGGTCTGCGTCTGAGGGGCTGCGTCTGAGGGGCTGCGTCTGAGGGGCTGCGTCTGAGGGTCTGCGTCTGAGGGGCTGCGTCTGAGGGGCTGCGTCTGAGGGTCTGCGTCTGAGGGTCTGCGTCTGAGGGTCTGCGTCTGAGGGGCTGCGTCTGAGGGGCTGCGTCTGAGGGTCTGCGTCTGAGGGTCTGCGTCTGAGGGTCTGCGTCTGAGGGTCTGCGTCTGAGGGTCTGCGTCTGAGGGGCTGCGTCTGAGGGTCTGCGTCTGAGGGTCTGCGTCTGAGGGGCTGCGTCTGAGGGGCTGCGTCTGAGGGGCTGCGTCTGAGGGTCTGCGTCTGAGGGGCTGCGTCTGAGGGGCTGCGTCTGAGGGTCTGCGTCTGAGGGTCTGCGTCTGAGGGTCTGCGTCTGAGGGGCTGCGTCTGAGGGGCTGCGTCTGAGGGTCTGCGTCTGAGGGTCTGCGTCTGAGGGTCTGCGTCTGAGGGTCTGCGTCTGAGGGGCTGCGTCTGAGGGTCTGCGTCTGAGGGTCTGCGTCTGAGGGGCTGCGTCTGAGGGGCTGCGTCTGAGGGGCTGCGTCTGAGGGTCTGCGTCTGAGGGGCTGCGTCTGAGGGGCTGCGTCTGAGGGGCTGCGTCTGAGGGTGCGCGTCTGAGGGGCTGCGTCTGAGGGGCTGCGTCTGAGGGGCTGCGTCTGAGGGTCTGCGTCAGAGGGGCTGCGTCTGAGGGGCTGCGTCTGAGGGGCTGCGTCTGAGGGTCTGCGTCTGAGGGTCTGCGTCTGAGGGGCTGCGTCTGAGGGTCTGCGTCTGAGGGTCTGCGTCTGAGGGTCTGCGTCTGAGGGTCTGCGTCTGAGGGGCTGCGTCTGAGGGTCTGCGTCTGAGGGTCTGCGTCTGAGGGGCTGCGTCTGAGGGGCTGCGTCTGAGGGGCTGCGTCTGAGGGTCTGCGTCTGAGGGTCTGCGTCTGAGGGTCTGCGTCTGAGGGTCTGCGTCTGAGGGGCTGCGTCTGAGGGTCTGCGTCTGTGGGGCTGCGTCTGAGGGGCTGTGTCTGTGGGGCTGCGTCTGAGGGGCTGCGTCTGAAAATGGTTCATTTATTAAACGTTTGGCCAAAGAATTTCTGGCAGGATGCCACCTTGGGGTTGCAAGCAGCTGCAGGCCGGGTGATGCAGGCCTGGTGACGCACGCCTGGTGATGCACGCCTGGTGATGCACGCCTGGTGATGCAGGCCTGGTGATGCACACCTGGTGATGCAGGCCTGGTGATGCACACCTGGTGATGCAGGCCTGGTGATGCACACCTGGTGATGCAGGCCTGGTGATGCACGCCTGGTGATGCACGCCTGGTGATGCACGCCTGGTGATGCACGCCTGGTGATGCACGCCTGGTGATGCACACCTGGTGATGCAGGCCTGGTGATGCAGGCCTGGTGATGCACGCCTGGTGATGCACGCCTGGTGATGCAGGCCTGGTGATGCACGCCTGGTGATGCACGCCTGGTGATGCACGCCTGGTGATGCAGGCCTGGTGAGGCACGCCTGGTGATGCAGGCCTGGTGATGCACGCCTGGTGATGCAGGCCTGGTGATGCACACCTGGTGATGCAGGCCTGGTGATGCACACCTGGTGATGCAGGCCTGGTGATGCAGGCCTGGTGATGCAGGCCTGGTGATGCACGCCTGGTGATGCAGGCCTGGTGATGCAGGCCTGGTGATGCAGGCCTGGTGATGCAGGCCTGGTGATGCACGCCTGGTGATGCACGCCTGGTGATGCACGCCTGGTGATGCAGGCCTGGTGATGCAGGCCTGGTGATGCAGGCCTGGTGATGCACGCCTGGTGATGCACACCTGGTGATGCACGCCTGGTGATGCAGGCCTGGTGATGCACGCCTGGTGATGCACGCCTGGTGATGCACGCCTGGTGATGCACGCCTGGTGATGCACGCCTGGTGATGCACACCTGGTGATGCACGCCTGGTGATGCAGGCCTGATGCAGGCCTGGTGATGCAGGCCTGGTGATGCACACCTGGTGATGCACGCCTGGTGATGCACGCCTGGTGATGCACGCCTGGTGATGCACGCCTGGTAATGCACGCCTGGTGATGCACGCCTGGTGATGCAGGCCTGATGATGCACGCCTGGTGATGCACACCTGGTGATGCACGCCTGGTGATGCACGCCTGGTGATGCACGCCTGGTGATGCACACCTGGTGATGCACGCCTGGTGATGCACGCCTGGTGATGCAGGCCTGGTGATGCACACCTGGTGATGCACGCCTGGTGATGCACGCCTGGTGATGCAGGCCTGGTGATGCACGCCGCCTGGTGATGCACGCCTGGTGATGCACGCCTGGTGATGCACGCCTGGTGATGCACGCCTGGTGATGCAGGCCTGGTGATGCACGCCTGGTGACCTGGTGATGCACGCCTGGTGATGCAGGCCTGGTGATGCACGCCTGGTGATGCACGCCTGGTGATGCACGCCTGGTGATGCACGCCTGGTGATGCACGCCTGGTGATGCACGCCTGGTGATGCACGCCTGGTCTGGTGATGCACGCCTGGTGATGCACGCCTGGTGATGCACGCCTGGTGATGCACGCCTGGTGATGCACGCCTGGTGATGCACGCCTGGTGATGCACGCCTGGTGATGCACCTGGTGATGCACGCCTGGTGATGCACGCCTGGTGATGCAGGCCTGGTGATGCACACCTGGTGATGCACGCACGCCTGGTGATGCACGCCTGGTGATGCACGCCTGGTGATGACGGCCTGGTGATGCACACCTGGTGATGCAGGCCTGGTGATGCAAGCCTGGTGATGCACGCCTGGTGATGCACGCCTGGTGATGCAGGCCTGGTGATGCACGCCTGGTGATGCACGCCTGGTGATGCACACCTGGTGATGCACGCCTGGTGATGCACGCCTGGTGATGCACACCTGGTGATGCACGCCTGGTGATGCACGCCTGGTGATGCAGGCCTGGTGATGCACGCCTGGTGATGCACGCCTGGTGATGCACGCCTGGTGATGCACGCCTGGTGATGCACGCCTGGTGATGCACACCTGGTTATGCAGGCCTGGTGATGCACACCTGGTGATGCAGGCCTTGTGATGCACGCCTGGTGATGCACGCCTGGTGATGCACGCCTGGTGATGCACGCCTGGTGATGCACGCCTGGTGATGCACCTGGTGATGCATGCGCCTGGTGATGCAGGCCTGGTGATGCACGCCTGGTGATGCACGCCTGGTGATGCACGCCTGGTGATGCACGCCTGGTGATGCACGCCTGGTGATGGCCTGGTGATGCACGCCTGGTGATGCACGCCTGGTGATGCAGGCCTGGTGATGCACGCCTGGTGATGCACGCCTGGTGATGCAGGCCTGGTGATGCACGCCTGGTGATGCACGCCTGGTGATGCACGCCTGGTGATGCACGCCTGGTGATGCACGCCTGGTGATGCACGCCTGGTGATGCACGCCTGGTGATGCACGCCTGGTGATGCACGCCTGGTGATGCACGCCTGGTGATGCGGTGATGCACGCCTGGTGATGCACGCCTGGTGATGCACGCCTGGTGATGCACGCCTGGTGATGCACGCCTGGTGATGCACGCCTGGTGATGCACGCCTGGTGATGCACGCCTGGTGATGCACGCCTGGTGATGCACGCCTGGTGATGCACGCCTGGTGATGCACGCCTGGTGATGCACGCCTGGTGATGCACGCCTGGTGATGCACGCCTGGTGATGCACGCCTGGTGATGCACGCCTGGTGATGCACGCCTGGTGATGCACGCCTGGTGATGCACGCCTGGTGATGCACGCCTGGTGATGCCTGGTGATGCACGCCTGGTGATGCACGCCTGGTGATGCACGCCTGGTGATGCACGCCTGGTGATGCACGCCTGGTGATGCACGCCTGGTGATGCACGCCTGGTGATGCACGCCTGGTGATGCACGCCTGGTGATGCACGCCTGGTGATGCACGCCTGGTGATGCACGCCTGGTGATGCACGCCTGGTGATGCACGCCTGGTGATGCACGCCTGGTGATGCACGCCTGGTGATGCACGCCTGGTGATGCACGCCGCCTGGTGATGCACGCCTGGTGATGCACGCCTGGTGATGCACGCCTGGTGATGCACGCCTGGTGATGCACGCCTGGTGATGCACGCCTGGTGATGCACGCCTGGTGATGCACGCCTGGTGATGCACGCCTGGTGATGCACGCCTGGTGATGCACGCCTGGTGATGCACGCCTGGTGATGCACGCCTGGTGATGCCTGGTGATGCGCCTGGTGATGCACGCCTGGTGATGCACGCCTGGTGATGCACGCCTGGTGATGCACGCCTGGTGATGCACGCCTGGTGATGCACGCCTGGTGATGCACGCCTGGTGATGCACGCCTGGTGATGCACGCCTGGTGATGCACGCCTGGTGATGCACGCCTGGTGATGCACGCCTGGTGATGCACGCCTGGTGATGCAGGCCTGGTGATGCACGCCTGGTGATGCACGCCTGGTGATGCAGGCCTGGTGATGCACGCCTGGTGATGCACGCCTGGTGATGCCTGGTGATGCACGCCTGGTGATGCACGCCTGGTGATGCACGCCTGGTGATGCACGCCTGGTGATGCAGGCCTGGTGATGCACGCCTGGTGATGCACGCCTGGTGATGCACGCCTGGTGATGCACGCCTGGTGATGCACGCCTGGTGATGCAGGCCTGGTGATGCACGCCTGGTGATGCAGGCCTGGTGATGCACGCCTGGTGATGCAGGCCTGGTGATGCAGGCCTGGTGATGCACGCCTGGTGATGCACGCCTGGTGATGCAGGCCTGGTGATGCACGCCTGGTGATGCACGCCTGGTGATGCAGGCCTGGTGATGCAGGCCTGGTGATGCACGCCTGGTGATGCACGCCTGGTGATGCACGCCTGGTGATGCACGCCTGGTGATGCAGGCCTGGTGATGCACGCCTGGTGATGCACGCCTGGTGATGCAGGCCTGGTGATGCACGCCTGGTGATGCAGGCCTGGTGATGCACGCCTGGTGATGATGCAGGCCTGGTGATGCACGCCTGGTGATGCCTGGTGATGCAGGCCTGGTGATGCACGCCTGGTGATGCATGGCCTGGTGATGCACGCCACCTGTGTGATGCACGCCTGGTGATGCACGCCTGGTGATGCAGGCCTGGTGATGCACGCCTGGTGATGCAGGCCTGGTGATGCACGCCTGGTGATGCACGCCTGGTGATGCAGGCCTGGTGATGCACGCCTGGTGATGCACGCCTGGTGATGCAGGCCTGGTGATGCCTGGTGATGCACATGCAGGCCTGGTGATGCAGGCCTGGTGATGCACGCCTGGTGATGCACGCCTGGTGATGCACGCCTGGTGATGCAGGCCTGGTGATGGTGATGCACGCCTGGTGATGCACGCCTGGTGATGCACGCCTGGTGATGCACGCCTGGTGATGCACGCCTGGTGATGCACGCCGCCTGGTGATGCACGCCTGGTGATGCACGCCTGGTGATGCACGCCTGGTGATGCACGCCTGGTGATGCACGCCTGGTGATGCACGCCTGGTGATGCACGCCTGGTGATGCACGCCTGGTGATGCACGCCTGGTGATGCACGCCTGGTGATGCACGCCTGGTGATGCACGCCTGGTGATGCAGGCCTGGTGATGCACGCCTGGTGATGCACGCCTGGTGATGCACGCCTGGTGATGCACGCCTGGTGATGCACGCCTGGTGATGCACGCCTGGTGATGCACGCCTGGTGATGCACGCCTGGTGATGCACGCCTGGTGATGCACGCCTGGTGATGCACGCCTGGTGATGCACGCCTGGTGATGCAGGCCTGGTGATGCACGCCTGGTGATGCACGCCTGGTGATGCAGGCCTGGTGATGCACGCCTGGTGATGCACGCCTGGTGATGCACGCCTGGTGATGCACGCCTGGTGATGCACGCCTGGTGATGCAGGCCTGGTGATGCACGCCTGGTGATGCACGCCTGGTGATGCACGCCTGGTGATGCCTGGTGATGCAGGCCTGGTGATGCCTGGTGATGCAGGCCTG